TTTGTACTCGTGTTTTCCATAAAAACACATGCCAAGAGGCTGAAGAGATGGCTCAACAGTTAGGCTCACTTGCTCCCCAATCATGTGGATGGGAGTTCAGATCCCAGCACCACCTTGATAAACTGTGCTTCCCTGCAAATGAAGGAGGACCACTGAGGCTTGCTGGCTTCCAGCCTACCCTAGAAAATGTTAACCCTTAGAAGAACAAGCAGGAAGGGGTGAAGGAGGGTGCTTTTTTCTGACCTCCACACCCTCGAGTAAGCACATGGGACCCTCCCGTGCACACACCTACACACAACTCACACAGATACATACAAATAAATAGATAAGTAAGTCTATTTTAAAGAATACAAAATGAGGTAGTTGGTGTCTTTAACCACGTTTTTGGAGAAAATGGCCCCTATTTTTTCTGATGTTTTGATGTCTGGGCATATACAATTTTTGGACTCTAGAAGCTTTGTATTACAAAAAGCACTATTATCATGGTAAAACTAGGGCCTTCTACCCTGCTTCCATTTTATGTGTATTATAATGCCTCAATGTGACAGAAATATGTGTTCTACATGTATGTGTATATACATGTTTGTATCTATAGCTATACATGTCCATATGTGTATATGCCAGATGTGTGGGGAAATGGAAGTAAATGTACAAACTCTTCATAGGCATGTCTTGGGGAGTAAACGTGTTACAGTTTTCAAAATTTCTCATATTTGCATCTTTTTATAAAGAAAATTTGCTGTGGTTTTAACTCTGTATGTCGTCTGCCACCTCGTGTTCCATTTTTAAATTAATTCAGTTTTTCAATTAATTGTAGGCTAACATTTTTACAGTTTTCATTTTTATGAAGGCAGATCTGTCTGAACACTTAGGTGAGTTCTTAGCAACTGACCACCTCTGCAGAAGTTGCCCAGGAATGATGTAGGGAATGTGTCACGTGAGCGTGATGATGCCCTTTCAAATGCAGGAGATAACAGAGAGGAACACGTAGGAGATATGGCGGGGATAGGTACAGTCCAGGAAACAGCTGCAAATTCCTCTATGGTCTACTCCTCCCTTGTCAGAACCTTTAAAACAGCTAACAGAATGCTAGCTGAATGGATGTGGACAGGCAAGCCCTAACGGTTTCTAAGAGTTCCTGCAGCCGGGCGGTGGTGGCGCACACCTTTAATCCCTTGCACTCAGGAGGCAGAGACAGGCAGATCTCTGTGAGTTCGAGGCCAACCTGGGCTACAGAGTGAGATCCAGGAAAGGCTCCAAGGCTACACAGAGAAACCCTGTCTCAAAAAACAAACAAACAAAAAGAGTTCCTGCATGTCAGCAGAACTCTGGCTTTAAGTTATAAAATCTCCTGCATTGACAACATACATGCCCATTCCTTACAACTATTTTATCCAAATGTTGCTTTATGTTTTATTGTACTGTACCTGAAAAATGAAGCATGATTGTTTTAGCCTCCTTGATAAAACAGCAATAATGAAAATGAAGTCTATGCTACTGTCTTACACTGTTCAAATACCTTCTTGCCGTCCTGTATCTCATGGACAGCTGGTATGAGGGGTGGGGAGACTGAATAGTAAGACACACTGTTGTTTCTACTTTCCTTGTAAAGGTTTCTAGGTTTACAAGGGTGAATTCTACCTGTACTTCTGCTGTCACGAGATGTTTTGACAGAAAGAAATCACAGACCTAAATTGTACCTGCCTCAGAGATTCAATTAAGTTCCCTATATATCTGTTGAGGACATAAAAATTGTCACAGAAATGAGACGAAGCCACATCTGCATCCAAGCAGCCACGGCCAGTTCCTGTAATGTTTTGGTCAGCAAGTAGAACCCCCAGAGTGAGGTCTACCTGCCCTGTGAGTTGCCCTTCCACGATGGCCAAACTAGATCTAAGTTATCACGGCCACCACCCTTCTCCTAGGAGCTTGGAGTCAAAGGCCTCCGACAATAACATGAAGTACTTGCTGACAGCCAAGACCTTCCTGGATCACAAGCTGAGCTCTGAGGCAACAAAGCAAGTACTTGAGACAGAAACGATACCCACGTGTCTCTAAGCACCAACATCGCCTTGAGTTTTAAAGCATCCACAGAGGTCCATTTGACAGAATCCTCATTGTGTTGAGCAAATTTCCTGCCTTTGTCAATCTTATCTTTACTGTGAAGAGATGGTGAATAAATAGTGCATCAGACAAAGGACATGCTACACGGGAGAACATTCAGAGATAAACAGCAAGAGTATGGTTTTAAGTAGACAGCTCACCTGGGCATGGGCATGAGTAAGGTGCCTCCATCTCACGCTTGTCTACATCCTACTAGGTAGGAGGGGAACACTTGCTCCAATTCTGTATAATGAACTCATAACACTCACCGTATTCACCACTGCAAAGGACAATGAAATCCCTGACTGGATTAATACCAAATCTCTGTGTTTTCTTTTAAATGGCCTATTCAAATTATACATGCCATGCTCAAATTCGAGGTAATTCTCTGAGTAAGCAAAAATTTGCCTCCTTCGGCTGTCTTTAATACCATATGCCTAAGGCAGGGTATCGAAAGTCAACAAAACTCCTGTTTCTCTTGTGGCAGGCTGTGGGAAGATAGTGACTTCTAATTTCAACATGAACCGTGGCTAGAAATTTCCCAGAGAGCTAAATAAAAGAGAG